TATATATATATATATATATATATATATATATATATATATATATATATATATATATATATATATATATATGAAGTACAGTACTTTGGATGGACGGTTGAGCTTGACGCATCGGTAACAGACTCAAAACAGAAAAGCTCCTGAGAAGACCTTCCATCCGCTCATATAAATAGCTGCAAGAAGTCCTCCGAAACCTTATTCCATTTCTTGATCTCTCTCGGCTTCGGTTTCTTGGAACCCTCCGCTCCTTTCTTCTCGATTCAATCCGCACACGTTGTTCTTTAATCCTTCCACCGATTTCTGTACTGGTAGGCGATCGATCGATTCCGCGCACTTTTTGAATGTCGATTAGAGCGGGTAAACCCTGGAGGATGGTTTCTTGGGTTCTGATATGGAGCAGAGGACCGGGGGGAGACCGGAGTTACCTTCGATGAATTCCCTTATTGCCTTAGGTAAAAGCTTAACGCTCGGATCGTTTCTTTAGATGTGTGTTTATTTGGATCACGAGGGCCTTGGGTGGCAATTTGTCTTGTTTTTCTTTAGTTCGTCTTCTTACCATGATTTGGGTGTTGATTTTGTTTTCCTGTTGAAAAGATAACAATCTTGATTGTCACAGATATGCTTGTTTTTGTCTTTCATTCCCATCTGATGATAAGAGTGTTCAAGATCTATTTTAATGGTCCTCTTCGTGTTCTGTATCTGCTTGTTATTATTTCCCTTACATTGTTCTGATCCCGCAACCTTACCTGGGGCAAATTCTTGGGCATCTTACGGAAGTCAACCGCTAGGTCACAATCCCTTCTGTTATTATTCTTGTGATTACTTTATGGCTTCTCTCAAACAAGAGGTGGATCTTTATCAGATGGACAATCCTTAACATGCTTATAATTATAATTGAATAGTTATAGCTTTTTCTCATGTACCAATGAATTTGTCCGAGTATTTCGGAAGGCAATAATTAAGACGCGGACTCTATAAGAAATACCCCTTAGAATTTTAGTAATAATTTATAATATTCTATTTCTGGTGCAAGGCTGGCATTTTTGGCTGGTGCTAACGAAAATTCCAAAACCGAGAAGACCTCATATCATTGTTGAATCGAGAAAAGATGACGGGTCCCTTTTTCGCTTTTTAGTATTATACATGATGTCGAAAGGAAGCAGAGTAATCTTGAGTTTTCTTGGCGTCAGAAATAATTGTCAATGTCACTTCCTGCCGTATGAAACTAGTCGTGCTTGTATACACCTCTTTTTTTTAGCTGTGTTTCTTACATTTTATTTAGTCTTGAAAGAGGTTTTTGCTGAATTCCTCATCTGCAACTGTGCTCAGAATATTTCTGCTTTTTCTTATCACTCGATGTTTGCTGCCTCATTTTTCCTTCCGTCTACATAGTTTAATAGCTCAATTATTATTTGAAGAAGCAAAATGGGTCAGGCAAACTGATAATAATTATTTTTGTTTGAAGGATCATACCAGGTGGACCCATTTGATCCTTTAATAGAGGAATCTCAACTGCAAACTGCCAATCAGAACATGATATTGTCCATACTGTATGGCAGAACTGTAAAGTACAACTTCTTTGTGAACTGAACCAAAAAATGAAGCTGCTAGCCTCAGCTCCTTTATTATCATATCTGGTAGTTCTTTTCTTCGGTCTCCCTCGTCTTCGGTTCCAAGAACCTCAGAAATAGTTATCATATCTAGCAGTTCTTCCATGTGCCAACCCAGAAGCTACTTTATATGTTTGCCATACTAGAAGGTAATCTGATTCTACTAGCATGCTAAATTTGTCTCTGTCAAGTTTTCGGAGTTACTAATCTGAGTGAATTGCCACAAGGAAATGCGAATCTAGATGGTTGTATTTTACTATTAGAGTTTCTTGATAGTTAACCTAAATTTTTGGTGGCAGAGAAAATATGAATTAGGAAGTCTTTGGAAAAACTGTTTTGTAGATAATTTTCATGTGGCCTATGCTGGTTATTGGCCATTACACATAGCTTATTTAATTAACTGTCTCGGATCAACTATTCATGCGGCTGAATGAGTTATTCTGAACCCATTCCTCTGAGTGATTAATCTTGACGTGGATTATGAGGGTTAAAATGACCTTCCAATTTTGAGCCTAGGTTTGTTTACTCTATCTCTACACAATTCTTTGCAAAAGATAAATTTATTTATTCCTAAGAAGATGTGTATTCCCATTCACTGATTTCCTGTATTCAATAGAATTATGGTTGGGCTACCATCTCAGGAGAGCAGGGGATCAATATTAATGAAGCTTTTGTCAAAAGAAAAGGTTGAAGGACTTTACTACAAGGAGCTTGCAGCAATCACAGACGGATATACTGGTAGTGATCTTAAGGTAAGTTATGTTTTCTTGGGTTACAGAGTCACCATATATGGATGATAATTCCTCAATAATTGTGGACAGAATCTCTGCATTACAGCAGCATATCGTCCTGTTAAGGAGCTGATTCAGAAAGAGAGAAAGAACAAAGGAATTGGTAAGTCTGTACATCTTCAAAATTTATGCTCTGGATTTGACTTAACAGATTTGACACGCTGTTAATCTTGCATATTTTCTTCATAGCCTACAGCAGAATTTCAATAAGTCTTTTTATATACATTTTATTTTCCTAAGTTTTTATTATGTATAAATTAAAGTATAGCATATCCTGATCACATATATACCTTTATGATTTTCTCAAAGAACAAAAAAACTCAAATGTTTTCTTCTAACTTAATTTTCTTTATCTATACACCTTAGGTCATTACTAATGATAGAGAATACAATATCGATTGACACGTGATCGTGGAATTCTCATCACTTTTCATTCATCTGTCTTACTCATCTGTCTTACGTGGATAAAGATTTAGACAAGCACAAATTTTCTTCTCATCCATTATGACAAATTTTCTTTATCTATACACCTT